GTGGTTTAATTTGCCTGATGATTAATGATATTGAGCATCTTTTCATGTGCCTGTTCATCATCTCTCTGTCTTCTTTGGAGAAATATATATTCAGATCTTCTGCCCATTTTTAAATCAGATTGCTGTTTTTCTGTTACCTGGAGGGTTTTAAAGGGTAAAGTGAGAAAGTGCTGGGCTAAACAGAGATAAATCAGAGATATAGCCTTGACCAGCACATAAAGGGAGTACTCCTTTCACTCCCCCCAAAAACACCCATGTGGGTGGACTCAGTAAAAACCTGGCCCATAGAAGGAGTCTTTAGAGATTTTATTTCTTCCTCAGTCTTGTCTTCTGGTGGAATGGAGGTAGTCAGGAAAAGAGTCTTCCATGAGAATCAATAACGACAAACCTGTACTTACTGAATTTAGGGGCCAAAATTCATAGCATCTGTGTGGTTCCAAAACCCTCAAATATTTAAGCTTTCACAAAGACAAATACGGTACAATTCTACATATATGAGATACCTGCGGTAGTCACATTCATAGAGACAGACAGTAGAATGGTGGCTGCCCTGGACTGGGGTGGGGAGTGGGGAGAGGAGAGGGGATGTTGTTGTTTCACGGGCATAGAGTTAAGGTTGTACAAGATGAAGAGAGTTCTAGAGATTAGCTGCCCAACAATGTGAATGTACCAAAAACAACCAAACTTGACACTTCAAAATGCTTGAGGTGGTAAATTTTATGTTATATGTATTTTCAGTTCAGTTCAGTCGCTCAGTCATGTCCAACTCTCTGCAACCCCAAGGACTGCAGCATGCCAGGCCTCCCTGTCCATTGCCAACTTCCGGAGTTTACTGAAACTTATGTCCGTTGAGTTGGTGATGCCATCTAACCATCTCATCCTCTGTCGTCCCCTTCTCCTCCTGCCTTCAGTCTTTCCCAGCATCAGGGTCTTTTCTCATGAGTCAGTTTTTCATATCAGGTGGCCAAAGTATTGGAGTTTCAGCATCAGTCCTTCCCATGAATATTCAGGACTGATTTCCTTTAGGATGGACTGGTGGGATATCCTTGCAGTCCAAGGGACTCTCAAGAGTCTTCTCCAACACCACAGTTCAGAAGCATCAATTCTTCAGCAGTATGTATTTTACTACAGTAAAAATTGGTTTATAATTTTTAAAAATTTAGTTTAAAGTAGTCTCAAGTTAGTAATGCCCCCTAACTACCTATTCAAACAAAACAAAACAAAAAAACAGGAAAATACCCTCCAACCTGGGACTCATAATAATTTCCAAGCAATCTAAGATCACAGTAATGTTTTACAAGGAAATAATGAATGAGGGCCAGAAGAACAAACGAACTATAAAGTCAGAGTAAAAAGACAGTGGAAATTAGGTTTATTAACTACAAAGTTAAGCTTGTATTTTTGATAATTTTTAAAAGATGAAGCTGAAAATATGATGAAGGAAAAATAAATGATCAAAATTAACCAAGGAGAATTGAAAAGTAACCAAATGGAACTTACAGAAGAAAAAATCTATAGTTCTTAATATTATAAACCAAACTGATGGACTAAGCAGCAGATTGATCCCACTGGAGAGAGAAGTAGTAAATAGGAAGATGAGACTGAAGAAATTACAGCTCAAAGACACAGATTGATAATGAAGTACAGGTATTTAGATCCTACATGTATCAACTCACAGTTTACAATGCAAATAATAGGGAAATAGGAAGCAATATTTGAAGAGACAATGGCTGAAGTTTTTCAGAAACAATGGAAAATACCTTCCTACCCAGGAATCCCATGCAACAAAATAAAACAGAAATTCACACTGAGATAGCTCATAGGGGAAAATACAGAACAGGTGACAAAGATGCTACAAGTAATCTGAAAAAAGGACAGATAACTTAAAAGGAAACACAATTACTTAAAGCTGATATAACAGCAACAATACTTATCAGTTGAAAATGGAATATCTTTAGAGGACTTAGGGAGAATAACTTTTAAATAGAATTATCCATTCTAATTCATTATTATAAATTATCTATTATATTAAACTATTCCTTATGAATGAAGGAATAAAGTCATTTTCAGACACATGAAACCTAAGTATTTATTACCAAAACAGACCCTCAGTAAAGGAACTTCAAATGATGTACCTCAGGAAATAAGTAATATTTCAAGGATAAATATCTGACATGTGAGGAAAAAATGGTAAGAAAAGGAAAAAAGCAAAAACACTAATCTAAATATACATTGACCATGTTTTTAATAACAAAATAATATCTAATCACTGGGTTTTAAAAAATCAAGTAGACCCCACATCCTGAAAAATGTAGCATATAACTTAGATTATAATTGAGGCTGAAGGATTTTAAAGTACTTGTATTACTAGGAAGGAAGGAAGGTAAAAATATTTACTGTATTCAAAACTTTTAAAATTCTATGCATTAAATATACATGTTGATTTTTCTACTGTAACCACTAATAGAATATAAAGCGTATACATACCTTCCAATGAAGGGGAAAAATAGAATACAGAGGTGAAAATGAAACAAAAAAAATAAATCAAGAAATTTTAACAGTAACTACAACAAAAAATCAGTAAATATAGTGAATGTAAAAAATTGGGTTTACCATATAAAAAGAATATGGCTAGGTAAAACTCCAAACCCAGCCATATGCTTTTTATATAAGACACAAGTAAACTATAAAGACAAATATGTAAAGATTGGTATAGGCACATTCAGTTCAGTTCAGTCGCTCAGTCATGTCCGACTCTTTGCGACCCCAAGAATCGCAGCACGCCAGGCCTCCCTGTCCATCACCAACTCCTGGACCTTACTCAAACTCATGCCCATCGAGTTGGTGATGCCATCCAGACATCTCATCCTCTGTCATCCCCTTCTCCTCCTGCCCCCAATCCATCCACAGCTTTTAAAACCAAAAAACCCCTCTAGTATTCACATTACAATGTAAAGCAGCTCAATATATGTTGATATATTTCAATTCACCAGGAAAAATAATAATTTGTATGCATGTGATAACATAGGTTCAAAATACATGATGCAAAAATTGAAATATGTACAATCAGAAACTAAAAATCCACCATGATGGATTTTAACATACCTCTCATGGTAACCAATAGATTGAGAAATCAAAAAATCAGTAGAAATATAGAATATTTAAACAACACCATTAACAACTGTAGTCTAATGGATATATAGAGAGCGTTTATATGATAACAGCAGAACACAATGTTTTCAGGAACCTAATAAATATTTTTAAAATTTAAAAATATATATTATCTATACTTTTGAATTATATATATCTACACTTTTGAATGTCTGATATATTTCACACTGTTTAAAAAGAATTAAAAATCATCTTATTGACTAAAGGTGCTACATATATTCCATATCATACAAAATATGATAAAAATACATTATTTTAAATTCAAATGAAACTACCCAGGACCTCAGAGCAAATGGTAGAGGCAAGATTTAAAAGGTGTCTCTGGGTCCAAAGATTCTATTCTACACACTGTGATGTACTACCTCAATGATCATTATCGAGAAGCATCCTTGTATTTTATCAGTACAACCAGAAGATTCCTGAAGATTGCCAAGTATTGATCTGGATACCAGCTGCCAGAACAACTGCCTTTACCTCGATGTCCCTCAGTTTTCCCATTAACACTGGCTTCTCTGTTCTGCCACAACTGTAATATGTTTAATATTTTTTCTGCACAAGATTTTACAGTGTTTTTATCAAGATGAAGCATTTTGCCAATACATTCCATAGGAACATTAATTTATTAAATAGCAGACTGTCAGGTCTCATCATCAGGATTTATCAGTCTGCTAACATGGCTTTATTCCACTTTGCAAGATAGAAGTAATGTATTATTAGTCTCATTGGTACTATGTTAATTCCTTCATCAATTCAGTGTAAGGACCAGTGTCTAGCCTTTGCAACATTGTTGGGCTTTTTCATTCCAATAACTGTAGCCAATGTCTGTTTATATAGTCAGTTATTTTACTGACCCTACACATCTAATATAATATAAGGAGGCTGAGTGGTGGACCTCAAAAGACATGTCCATGTTTCAACTCTGAATCTTTGAAAGTGACCCTATTTGGAAAGAGGGTCTTTTCAGATGTAATTAAGTTAACAATTTTGAGATGAGGTCATTCTGGATGATCTGGGTGGGCACTAAATCTAACGACGGGTGTCCTCATAAGAAACAAAAGAGAAGACACAGGTGGGCTTGAGGAGGCCATCTGAAGACGGAGCAGAAATCAAATTTAGGTGGCTACAAGCCAAAGAAAGCCTGGAACCACCAGACGGTGAAAACAGCAAAGAAGTCTCCTCCTTGTAGGTCCTTGGAGGAAGCACAGCCTTGCCAACACCTTAATTTCAGACTGCTGGCCTCCAGAGCTGTCAGAGAATACTTTTCTACTATTTGAAGCCTCCCAGTTTCTTATAATTTGTTACAGAACCATAGGAAACTAAGATATAATACCACCAAACAAACAATATACATATTATTATTATTTTTTTAGCATTGCATTTTCCAAAATTCAGATGATTCAAACCATCAGTCACAACAGCAACATTTATATGTGTGTTTTTATTCTCAGAATGAAACCAATTTGCCTTCCCTTTATATTTGCAGATAAATTTATCACTCTAACTACTGGTAAATACTAAGCAGTTGGAATTAACACCAACTGTGACATCATACCTTGAGGCAAAGCAGTGATACCTACCATGAAGAGTTATGAAAGATTAACTAAATTAAAAGAAATGACTTATGCAAAGTACCTAGGGTACTGACAAAGTCTAGGGACACAAAAATGGCATCAGTGACTTTTATTAATGTTTATGGTAAAACTTTCTAAATACTATCTAACATGGAGTTAGTACTTTTCTCTAGTGTTTCATTGATCTGATGATTCTATTTATTTGATCATCCATGAATCATGTGATAATTGACATTAATTGGTAGATGTTCTGCTTACCTATCGATGTGTGACATAACTGTTTTGGAGATGTCTGCTCCAGCTTCTTGCAACACTTGGATAATCTGAAATGGAGCACTTTGATTCCTTCCGGGATGAATAATAACAGGACAGCCAAGCTGAGTCTGGGCGTGAGCTGTTGCCTGCAGAACCTTTCTTTCACTGTCAGTCAGAGGCCAGGAGCAACCAATTTCCCCAATAACGCCACACTTGATACTGGTTCCATCAGCTCCACAGAGAATTTCATTAACAAGGACATCAGTAAGCTAAGGAAGAGTGAGAATGAAAATTTATAAACTGGATTTTATCAACAGAGAGTCAATACAGTATGTGAATGAATTTATTCATTGAGTCACTCATTCTTTTAAAAATGTATAAATGTATTCAACATTCATTCAGTTAATACTGATGAATGAGAAAGGCATTTTACTGGCAAAATCTCAAATTCAACAAGTTACTCTAAAAGAATTTTAGAATAGTCCAGTAGTTAAGACTCTGTGCTCCCAATGTGGGGTTCCGGGTTCAGTCCCTCGTTGGGGAATTAAGATGACACATGCTGCACAGTGTGGCAAAAAAAAAATAAAATTTGAAAAGAATAGATACATGTATATGTATAACTGAATCACTTTGCTGGACACCTGAAACTAACATAACATTGGTAATCGAATATACTCCAAAGAAAATTTTAAAAAAATTTTAATTAAAAAGAAACAAAAAAAGCACAAGTTACTCTAAATCAAAGATTTAATAGTATCTTACTGTGACTATTTAACAAGAAATTCATGGATTTAGGAAGCTACATGGGGAAAAGTGACTTAAGAAGAGTACATACATTGTACATTCACTCATTCATTGAGATAAAAATCCATAATTTAATCTCAGGGGCATGTAGAATGTAAAAAGACTGTCTTTAGTCTGTGTCAACTGTAGCAAGTAATTCTTTAATTCTCGATTATTTATTCTGTCCTTTGCCCTAATGTTTTTGTTGTTTAGTTGCTAAGTTGTATCTGACTCATTGTGACTTCATGGACTATAGCCTGTCAGGCTTCTCTATCCCTGGGATTTCTCAGGTGAAAATACTGGAGTGGATTGCCATTTCCTTCTCCAGGAGATCTTCCTGACCCAGGGATTGAACTCGTGTCTCCTGCATTGGCAAGTGGATTCTTTTACCACTGAGCCTCCTGGGAAGTCCTATGAAAGAGAAAGTGTAGTCCGACTCTTTGCAACCCCAGGGACTATAGTCCTCCAGGTTCCTCTGTTCATGGAGTTCTCCAGGCAAGAATACTGGAGTGGATTGCCACTTCCTTCTTCAGGAAATCTTCCTGACCCAGTGATTGAATCTGGGTCAGGCAGATTCTTTACCATCTGAGCCACCAGGGAAGCTACACTATGCAGCAAAGCAAATTCACAGCATATAATTCTAAGATGACATTTTGGGGGAGTTCCTATTTATCTTTACTGCTAAGTGTGGTTAGAAGAATGTGTAATCCCTGATATCAGGATAGTCTTCAAATAATATCAATGTATAAAAAGGGACCAATTAAAAAAATATATATATATATATATTTGAGTACGTCCCTGGGCTTCCCTGGTGGTTCAGTGGTAAAGAATCCATCTGCCAATGCAGGAGACACAAGAAACTTGGGTTCGATTCCTGGGAAAATCCCCTGGAATAGAAAATGACAACCTACTCCAGTATCCTTGTCCTGGAGAATCCCATGAACAGAGGAGCCTGGTAGGCTATAGTTCATGGGTTGGCAAAGACTTGGACACGACTGAGCACATACACAGACTGTCAGTCCATGTTCCCAATGCAGGGGGCCTGGATTGAATCCCTGGTCAAGGAACTAGGATCCTGCATGTTGCACGGTGTGGTCAAAAATAAATAAATACATAAGACACCAATTAAAAAGAGAAAGGCCTGATTGGAGAAAATGCAGATAAAAATATGAAATATAAAGTATTTTAAAGATTAACTGATTCTTTGCAAAGGCTGCAGCTGACATTCTATGCCTATGAAACAGATAATGGAAGATACACATGAATATATACATATACATGTAAATACATATACATTTGTACTATGTGTATATATAGAAAGAGCACACATACACATGCAAAAAAGCTTTGTGGCTTATTCTTTCTCTTTAATCCCTGAAAGATTTACGTTTCCTTCTGCCCATTCTTGCTTAAGATCCTATTTAAACAAAAACAGGAAAGTGGATTTTCTTCTACTCCTTTTTGTAAAAGGAGAAGGAAACATATTTGCAAAAGTGCCAAGTCTCTGCCTGCCAAGTTTCACCCTACAGTGAATTTTTATTGCTGGTTACATTATAAAATTCAGAAAGAAAACTGAGGTTGCATAACTGTAGCTTACAATGGAAAGTTGAGGTTTACACAAAGCCTGTGCCACCACTACTGAGCAGATATCACATATGTGAATCTAAGTATGAACATATCAGGTTTTTCAGTGACCCATGCATTAAGATCTTCTTCTAGGATGCTGCTTCTTTATAAAATAAAATGTTTCTAATTTAGGTCCCAGTGACAGATGTCTTTGCTAGCTGGCAAATTTCCATAGCATGTCTCTAAGCCAATGACATTTCCAAATGTAGATGACGTGTAGGGATAATCCAAGGCCTGAAGGGCTGACTGTTCTGAATTTACACCCAAATATTGTCCAAGAAGGGCTTCCCTGGTGGCTCAGTGGTAAAGAATTCACCTGCCAAGCCGGAGACAAGGGTTCGATCCCTAGATCGGGAAGATGCCCTGGAGAAGGAAATGGCAACCCACTCCAGTATCCTTGCCTGGGAAATCCCATGGACAGAGGAGCCTGGTGGGCTATAGTCCATGGGGTTGCAAAAAAGTTGGACATGACTTAGAGACTAAAGAACAACAACAACTGTCCAAGAAACTAGGGCTTTTATTGATACCTGCTCCACTGACATGGCTCTGGTCTCTGAGGAGTGAGTCGCATCCACATAAAAGCCAGCGCCAGCGATGATGTGGACGCCCGTCTCTTCCGCAAGCCGCTTCAAGGTCCGCACGTCCCGGCTGAGACCAGTGGTTGTGTTTTCCACCAAAGCTCCTCCACCTTTGGCTTTAAAATCTAACAGTTCTTCCTTGATGGCTTCTGTCTCCTGATTCAGCTGCAGATTCTCTTTATGGGAATAAGGGTTTTTCTGGATCCAAAATAAATTTTTCATTACAATAGGCTCCTTGGAGATAACTTCATGGCTTGGAGGAGGTGGGCAGTAACAGCAGTCGAAGGTCATTGTCAAATGTTCGTGGGTCAGGGTGCGACCTAGTGTGCCGGGCTCCACAAGGCCCAGGACCGTTTGGACTTTCCCACTTAAGGAAGACATTTCTGATGGACCAGGCGATGCTCTAAAAAGAGTGTTTCCTGGAAAAAAGAAAACGATAATCAGAAAATTTAACACACACAGAAATTCTGTCCATAGGGGATGTGAGGCTGTGAATGTATACCAGGATAAGAGAATCAATGAAACTAGAGATATGATCTCACTCATCATCCTGCCAAAGTCAGAGTCGGTCGCTTGTAAATTGTTTAAGTTCACTGCAGCTCAAAGTGACATGCATGGTGTTAAATGTCCCCCAACCTCTTCCACTGGGACTTCTCTGTCTGATTTAATCCCAAGCTCATCTACTGGAAGTATTTCTTGATATTCAGTTCACATTTTTCTTTTGCTTAATTTTATCTCATTAGTCAGAGCTATGCTTCCTTGGATAATTCAACAATAATGTCCATTTAAAAAACTTCATAATCAATAACTTGTATCAGAAGTAGCCATATATCAGAACTGTTTCATCTGTCATTTTTCAGCTAAATTAAATATACTGTGATGACTGATCACTCAATGACTCATTTACTAGCCACATGAAACAAGGTCCACCATGTCAAAACTGGAGATACAAAAAGGAATACAACAAAATTGACTATGACGATTTCACAGATTATTCCCCAAAAAACAGCTAGGAGGAGCATGTCTAGGCCTAGTAATGGAAAAACAAAAACAAACAAATCTCTTCATTCTAGGTGTTTTATTCTGTCTACAGCACACAGTCAGAAATACACTTCAAAAATACTTAAAAGCAAAAATTCTTAGGCTTAATGAAAGTGACTGTGCATTCTAAAACAGAACTCTATTGTCTGTAAAAAGAACAAATGCCACTCTGTTTATCCTCTGTTTACTTTCATTTGTAACACAAATAAGTTTGCATCAAGTTTCTATCGGTGACAGCAAAGATCCCAATTCCACAGCTTTTCATTTCATAAATGAAGGAGTTTCACTTGGAAAGAAAGAAAGGAGATCCTGAAAGTGATGAAGGTACACAGTCAAGGACAAAACCACAGACAGTGTCCTACTGGAGCACCAACCAGACACATCCAAGGGATGGCAGAAAAAATCTACTGGGAACTGAGTAAAACGGAGCATCCTTTGAAGCTCTCACATTGCTGCTTTTTTTTCCCCCTCCTCTCCCATCTTTTTCTATTATAGTAAAATATATGTGTTGTTGTTTAGTTGCTAAGTCATGTCTGACTCTTCTGCGATCACATGGACTACAGCCCACCAGGCTCCTCCGTCCATGGGATTTCCTAGGCAAGAGTACTGGAGTGGGTTGCCATTTCTTTCTCCAGGGGATCTTCCCGACCCAGGGATTGAATTCCAGTCTCCTACACTGGCAGGCAGATTCTTCACCACTGAGCCACCTGTCCTGTGCTTAGTTGCTCAGTCGTGTCTGACTCTTTGCGACCCCGTGGACTGCAGCTCGCCAGGCTCCTCTGTCCATAGGGATTCTCCTGGCAAGAATACTGGAGTGGGTTGCCAAGCCCTCCTCCAGGGGATCTTCCCAACCCAGGGATCGAACCCAGGTCTCCCGCATTGCAGGCAGATTCTTTACCATTTGAGTCACCTGGAAAGCACAAAATATATATAGCACACAATTTGCCATTGTAACAGTTTTGTGTGTGTGTGTTTTTTTAATTTGTCTGTGTGGACTCTTCATTGCGGCCTGTCGGCTTTTTCTCTAGCTGCGGTGCACTCAAGCTTCTCTAGCTGCAGCTCTTTAGTTGCAATCTTAGCTCGCCAAACAGGGATTGAACCCACGTCCCCAGAATTGGAAGGTGGATTCTTAACCACTGGACCATAATTTGTAAGTGCAAAGTTCAATGGCATTAATTACATTCACAATGTTTTGAAGTCATCATCAGCATGTGTTTCCAAAATTTTTCATCACTCCAGACAAAACCTCTGTAAACATTAAGCAATAATTCCCCATTTCCTCTTTCCCCAAGACTCTGATAACTACTAACTGATTTTGTGTCCCAGTGAATTTAACTCTTTTAAATATATCATTAAATATGTGTTATTTCACTTTGTTCCTTCAAATGAAATTCTGAAACCGTTTCCTCCCTTTGCCAGGGAACCACATCCCTTTGAGGATAGTCCTTTGTGACTTTCTGAGCATCAGTTTTCTCATCTGTAAGTTAGAGCAACGTGCACATTTCATAGGCTGTCATAAGAATGAAATTAAATTATATAGCACAGGTAAAATGACCTGTCCAAGTGTCTGGCACTCAGCACACACCTTTGTTACTCTGACTTTGGAAACTCTTATATATGTCCTGCATTATTCCTTTTTAGAGGAAGTGACTGATTAAAAAAGTCATCATTTGGGGGCGCAGTGGGTTAGGGCAAATTTATAATGGGTACAGCGCATTTGTAAGACAAAGTGAAAATAAAGATAGAAAAAGAGGAATACTGAGTTATGGGGCCACTTTATATCAAGCCACTGCAATCATCTGGAACCCAAGTGTTTGACATATATTGGTGTGCAATACATAAAGAATTGATTTAGACTGTTTGACAGAGAACTTTAGGACTTGTGGCTAGTATGGCCATTAATTTTTGCTTGAGAGTGCTCTTCTGCAAGTCAGGCTTCCAACAGCTAAATATTTCACTGGTGGTCATAACAGAAGCTGCTTATCTATTTATAGAATCACTGTGATTCTATAAATCACTCTGTGCCAGTTACTACAGAGGGCAATATTTTCCATTGATGATGTCCAAGAACCCACTGTTCAATGCCTTATTCCTTGTGACTGTAGCTAGTTCCTTCAGTTGATGGAATCAAAGTATCATTTAGTAATAGACTCAATGTTCCATATGGGTTCATTGACTCTTTCCCTCCTTCCAGCTGGTGGTCTTACAGATGTGTTCCTGGAGTATCTCCAGGGGCCAGAAACAGATAAATTGACAAAACGCTATTGCTTTTACTAGAAAAGTGCCAAACCACATATTTAATTGATATAGATCTGAAAGAGCAATGTTGGTAAGTTTCAAGCTCACAAGCTGTGAGTCTTCATGAAAAAAATATCACTTAAGAAATGTCATCTTCTCCAGGAAATTCCTCTAACGCTCTCAGGCAGAACTAGTTGGTGCTTCCTATGATCACATACAATGTAGACCATGCTTAAAAGATAAGAAAAGAGTAAAGAACAAAGAAGACCCAACACCACTCTAAGCTAGAATGTCTTTCAGTGCAGTTCTCCCCATCCTTGCTGGCACCGGGGACTGGTTTTGCGGAAGACAATTTTTCCATGGACGAAGGGGTGGGGTGGTGAGGTGGAAGGGATGGTTTGGGGATGATTCAAGTGCATTACATTTATCGGGCACTTTATTTCTGTTACTAATACACTGTGATACATAATGAAATAATTATACAATTCACCATAACACAGAATCAGATCATCAGGCCTTAGATTCTCAAAGGAGCCCTCAGCCTAGATCCCTCACATGCACAGTTCACAGCAGGGTTTGATCTCCTACCAAGTCTAAAGCTGAGGCTAATCTGACAGGAAGTGGAGCTCAAGTGGTAATGCGAGCCACAGGGAGTGGCTGTAAATGCAGAGAAACTTGGCTTTCTCACCCACGGCTCACCTCCTGATATGTGGCCCGGTTTCTAACCCGGCTGGTACAGGTCCGTGGCCCAGGGGTTGAGGACCCCTGTTTTAGTGAGATTAAAGTATGCAGGTAGATTTCATAGTTTCTGTGCAGTAACTATGGGGTTTCTATGAGGCAGCCCTTTGGGGTCTATTTTCAGCCTGGAACTTGTTCTCTTCTTAATCGGCAGGCAAGAGGCTATTAATGGCCTTCTGCCATAGAGAGAGAGCACAGAACACAGAGGACAATAAGTGCACAATAAAAGCTGCAGTGCACAACTGTGCAAATAGGAGTGACCTACCCACCCCCGCCCTGCACCCCTGAGGCCCCAACCCCAGCCCCAACACAAAGAGGAGGCTTCCGGCATTTTACGAAGACTTGCAAACTTCAGCGCTGCATACACCTGCCCAGAAGGTACTGGGGAAAGGGTTGTTGTTGTTGTTAGTGGTGGTGGTTTAGTTGCTAAGTCGTGTCCAACTCTTGCAACCCCATGGACTGTAGCCTGCCAGGCTCCTCTGTCCATGGGATTCTCCAGGCAAGAATACCGGAGTGGGTTGCCATTTCCTTCTCCGGGAGGGGAAAGGGTTAGCCACAGCTATAAACACAATTGCCACAAGATTTTTGTACTTCACATATGAAATCTGAAGAGTCAGAGAGACTGAGGAAAGTCTGCAATTACTATTAGAGCCCAGTCAAAGGAACCAGCAGTGCCAATCCCAATGGGTATGCAGTCGAAAGAGAGAGAGAGAGATAAAAAGAGCATAGAACATTAAAGGAAAAAAAAAAAAAAAAGAACAGACTCAGAGAATAACACTACACCACTGAACTAGAAACTAGAGGCAACGTGTAGGCTCCGTCTTTTTAGAAAATATATGCGTCAATGAACTTTCATAAAATATAGAGTAAATTGGCCTAATTATTAGAGTTGGGAAGTGAGTGGGCAGTTTGGGAGCAATTTAGTTTCCTTTCATTGAAATTGTGCCACGTGTTTTCACCCTTGTCATTATGCTTAAGATTTTTCTGTCTGCCTAGAGTGAGATCCATTTCAGTTATATTTCATATTTCAGAGCAGGACTTATAAAACTCTGAATATTTTACATATGCCTGAATGGAATTTCTTTAAGGGCAATGCACTGTCCTATTCCACAGACATAAGCCCCCTTTCTGCCCTTATGTCTTCTGTGCTGGGTGCTAGACTAGATTGCAGATACACAATTATAATTCTAGAAGCAGTGGTGAAATTGGCAAGGGGATGTTTGGTGAATTGATTTTCAGTTCAATTCTTCAACAACTTTTTAAGTTCTAAGCTCTGCCTTCCTCAGTGATCAATGCAACAACAGAATGGGCAAGACTAGAGATCTCTTCAAGAAAATTAGATATACTAAGGAAACATTTCATGC